ATTCCGTATCCATTCCCCTGCAAGAACTGACGAGAGGATCCCATAGAATCATTGGACGCATGAAAAAACGTATCAGCACTTTCTCTACGAGGGAACTGAAACTGAGGATCCTTATGAGGAGAATAAGAGGGATGGCTGACTCACTCTGGGAGAATGGTAACCTGAACTTTCCTACTCTCGACTGAGGAGGGAAATTTAATTTCCCGGGGGTAACCGTTAAATGGGCGGGGCGACTCATGCTGTTTTCGTGACAACCGCTAACAACACAGTGATACAGACCACGTGATGTCTCGGTGATCGTGGGTATTGTTAAAGTGGGCGTGGTCTGTCCAGGAAGAAGTTTATTGTTTCTGTACCATTGGTACTGAAGCTCCTCCCCTTCCGCTGATATACTTAATGAGACTTTACTGTTGAATGGAGCGTATAATGACTGAGGGTGTTCCAGTATCACTGGGGGAGTGGATACACCTAAGAAGAGAGAAAGAGAGAAGGAGAATATGATAAAAAATTACTTATAAATATATTCACTAATTTATTATTAAAGGTATACTGTAAATCGGCCTGTATATTATTTTGCCCTTTACATACATGTACATGTATCTGGGACATAAATTTTAATGCTTACTTGTTGATTAAAATTTCAAGCAGTATACTAAACATGCACACGTACATTATAAATGATTATCTCTATTGCTAATACTTGTACATAAATAGAGCTACTAATTCCTAATTTGAGAGTACAAATAATGTACATCTCCATTACCTCCTCCTCCTCCTCCTATTGCTGAAGCGCTGGACTCAATATGAAGAACTGATATTATGAAACCTTCCATCCTCAGTGAGTCCTCAAGTAAGGAGACTGTGGGACAATAAGTACCTTAATTCCATTTCTTTAGAATCTGAAATACTTGATCCTCAACTGTACCGTAATTTAGCCTAAAAAACACAAAGTTCATTTGTGAGTCATAAATACATACACACACAGTATAATGGAATGGTGGTAAGTTATTATCCAGGAAAGCAGTGGAGTCATTGTTAGTAAATCTTAATAAATCTTAGTAATAGTTGAATATAATTTTATACACAGAAATTTATGTAAACACAGGAAATTGATAAAGGGAGTAAGGGGCATTTTATTTGAGAGGTTATTTCAGAGCCAATTTTCGGAAAAACCATGGGCTACCCATAGCCTTTGCTGTTTTTTCAAAAGCTTGTTTGATTTTAAAAATGCTCATAACTCAAAAATTATTTATCAGAATCACCTCAAACTTTTTACATAGCATAAGGACATCAATGTGTATCAGAAAATGTAATAAAAAGTTGGGTTTATTTTGGAGCCATTTTTTGGAAAAAATTATGGGCTATAGCCTTGGGTATTTTTCAGAATTTTGACATTTTCTTAAAATGGCCGTAACTTGAAAAATTGAAGTCGGAATCAGCTCAAACTTTCTACATAGCATAAGGACATCAATATGTATAAGAAAATGTAATAAAAATTGGGGGTGTTTTTAGAGCCATTTTTTGAAAAAAACCATGGACTATAGCCTTGGGTATTTTTCAGAATTTTGACGTTTTCTTAAAATGGCCGTAACTTGAAAAATTGAAGTCGGAATCAGCTCAAACTTTACTTTCAAACTTTTAGCCTTACGTTTTATTCAACCTTGCGTTTTATTTAACTTTAGGTTTTGTTCAACCATAGATAATACACTTATGGTTTGTTCAGCCTTACGTTCTGTTTGACCTTACGTTCTGTTCGACCTTACGTTCTGTTCGACCTTACGTTTTGTTAAACCTTACGTTTTGTTAAACCAGAGAATTGAAAGACTCTGGCGAGATGTGTATCGATGTGTTGCTTCTACCTACTATGCTCTATTTCATGCAATGGAACAGGTTGGTGTACTCAATCCAGATAATGAAATTGATCTTTTTGTTCTACAATGCTTGTACCTACTTCGTATAAATAAATCACTTGATGAATTTACAAGAGCCTGGAACAGACATCCTCTACGTAGTGAGCACAATTGGTCTCCTTATAAAATTTGGGCGA